CACACACACACACACACACACACACACACACACACACACACACACACACACACACACACACACACACACACACACACCATAAATAATAACTCGGTCTTTCATCGGCTTCTCTCAAAGGGACTCTGTATTGTTCACACTTAAAACGGGCTTTGTGGGGTAGGTATGGTGTGATATGAGTGGTGAGTGGATTTTTATTGGTGATTTGAAGTAGATTTTAGCTAATATGGTTATTCGATGGGCTTTCATCCAGTGGTTATTGTGATAACATAATGCTTCAGGATAAAGTAAGGCGAGCACGGTGTTATCGCCTTTGTATTCGGCAAAATGGTTTGATGGAGTACAAAGAGAATTGACGGGCATGGCTTATTGGTATACATTTTTAGGCTGCCGCTCCACCTGAGGGATACAGTACTTTCCCGTGTGATCACTCGGGAGACGAGATGAAGAAGATGGGAGAGATGTGGTACCAAGTTGCACATCCACCTCGAGTGTATTCGCTCCTTTTATCCGTTGTTTCTTCTTATTTTCCTCTAATTCCGCTGCTACGTGTAGTATCTCTTTCCCCACAAGGAGCAGAGCCACTTTGTAAAGTTTCACAGAAAGACTAAAGGGCTCATGATAAATGCAATTCACTGGATGTAAGTAGCCAGGGTCGTGGTAAGAAACACCGCAAGCCCATTTCCTGTGCATGCTGCTGTTTTTCTTTCATCAGTGAAAGCATTTGTGGGATCAGGTGTCCTCTAATGGACGGAGAGGGCCTGTATGTCAGAGACCTGTGACATTCTGGATGCAACTGTAGGGGGGTTGAGAACACACATTAGCTAAGCGGGAGCCCACAGATGGATAGCTACAGGGACACAATTAGAATTATCAGTAACGTTTACTTTGTCAATGTCACAGATGGAGGCAAGCTGGCTGCCCGTTTGTGCTCTTGGACTGAGAGCTTTGCACAGGCGCGCCAATGGAGCAAGATTGAAATATCGCTGCCTCATTCCCTTCGGCCCTCCAAATTTCAACATTTTCACGCAAGGATTGAGATTTTTTTATGATTGTGGCCAAGTGCTGGCAAAAAAAGGCTCTATGAGAGGACTGGCAACTGAAGCATGGATGACACCACAGGGTTGGAAAGGGCACAAGCAAGAGCAGACTACAACAAGCTACACAGGCTGGAATTCTAATTTGGTTTGCATCCCTGCGTCCTTTCAATTTCACCTAATTCAAGCGTCTCGTATCCTTTGAGCATTAAAATACAGATCAGATCCTTCAAAGTCCTACAGAGGGCGCTGACTGTCATCAGTGTTATATTTCCATCGTGTTAGCATATCATGAGGCAGATCAACTTTCTCAGTTTGTCATGGCATTATCCAAAGTCTCCCTGCCACAAAGCTGTGCACATTAAGTTAGTCTAATGTGGAGACACCCCTTCATTTTGACATCAAAAAGCTGAAACTGACACGAAGCGGGCTTCTCTTTTAATATATTAATTCCTTGTCTTTGCACATATTCGATGTTCATGAAGCCCTCAGACCGCTTGTCAAATAAATCAGCTGTAGGGCTCGTGGCAGACAAGACTGGCTGACCACCGACTGCGGCTGTCTGCAATGGCAGAGTTGCTCTCAACTGCCTCATCAATCTTCGCGCCATTCTCCCATTATCCGCGTGCGAGAAAAACATCAATAAATTACCACAACAATGAGACTAATCCATTTGGCTGATGGAGTGTCACCTCGAGACGCCACAGAGACGAATGTAGAAGTTGCAAGCACCTGGTCCCGGTGACAAAATAACACATGCGCAAGCTTCCCAAGGAGGACTGGCAGTCACATTCAAAAGGATTAACTTGCACAGGTGCTTTCTCTTTTGCTTTCTTTTCTTTCTTTGTTTTACCTTACTTGAAATTCCACTCCAGAAGGGTGAAATTTGACGATGTCAAAGGGGAAAAAAATTAAGTGACTACCACAGAAGTGGAAATGGAAATTGTTGCAACATAGCAAAAAGAGGCATTTTCGGTGTAGATGTCTATATATATGAAATCCACCCGTCCATCCATTTTCAAGAACGCTTGTCTTCATTAGTGCAGTGGCTGAGCTGGAGCCTATCCGAGCTGACTCTAGGGAGGCAGAGTACCGACACTAATTGTAGCGCACATATGAACAAACAACCATTCACTATGTGGATGCAAACTCCCCATAGCTCAAGTTGAAAATGCACTTGAAAACGCATCCGTTTATATTTGTGGTCTCCTGATGGAAAATGGATTTGGACTGAATCTTGTTGCTCATGCATATGACAATTTGTCAACCAAAATGTTTGAATTGAAAAACATGTTTGAATATGTGTGATTAATTGAGTGCAATAAATCAATTAAACACTTC